TTGATTTTAATTCTCCATCAAAAACCAATCTCTAACAGTCACTCAGCACAAATCTAACGATGCTCAGCTGTGATGTGTTTACCTTCTAGGGAAAAGGCATGGATTTGTAAGTAAAACTGCCCCTGTACACATTACAAAATCAATCACATTGTGTGAAGGTTAATGTGATCCAGGAGTTATAAAACTAGTGACAAAATGTAAATATGCCAAGGCCTTATTATTTATTCAGCGGACGAAGAAATAAACCATAAGAAGTCTCAGTTTCTTAAAACTGGCAAAGTCTACAGTCACTTGTTGACTGGGGAGAGTAGAAGGGAGAACAAGCAGTGTAACAGAGTGGAGGAAGGTACCCATGGGTGGATTATCCCAGTGAGAAACCAGGCAAGCAAACCCTCGCTGCACATTAGCATCCTCGCATAGAGACCCGACAACACCATTCTGCGAGTGGTCTATTTACAACCTTGCTCTAAGTCTGCCATACCAGAAGCTTAAAGCATTGCCTCCCTTTTGCTCTCATGCCCAAAGTACCTTCCTCAGCTCAGTCATAGAATGTTGCTGCCCCCTGCACATAACCAGCAGCTATGTGCCTTCTGATAATGTTGAAGGCAACTGTTTCACTGAGAAATCTTTTTAATATGAATTAAAAATTATTACAAGAAGGAAGCCAGCCAAGCTCTAAACTCAGTATTTCCCATAGATAACAATAATTGCCAAATATACAAGTCAAATAAATCCTCAACATGGGAGAGACTATTAATACTAACTTACACTTACTGTTTACCATGTGACAAGCACTGTTCTAAGCTCTTTACATGCATTAATTCATCAGATCCTTATGAAAACTCCATGACCTTCCCTCTCGAACCTATGAGCACATTGTACAGGACCAGGCCTCCCTCTGATCATCCCTATTTTACACTGTTAACCCTCCTTTTCCCGGTCCCTCCCACCCTTGGTAACCACTAATAAACTTTGCTCTCTATACATTTGCCTTTTCTTGTCTTTTTATGTAAGTGAGGTCATTCAATATTTGTTCTTCTGTGATTGGCTTATTTCACTCAGCATAATGTCTTCTGGCTCCATCCATAATGTAGCACGTATCAATATTTCATTTCTCCTACTGCCTGAGTAGTATTCCATTGTATATATGTGCCACATTTTCTTTATTCATTCATCTGTTGATGGGCATTTAGGTTGTTTCCACCTTTTGGCTATTGTGAATAGTGTCCCAATAAACATTGGTATACAAGTCTCTTTTTGAGTCTCTGCTTTCAAATCTTTCAGGTATATAAGTAGGAGTGGAATTTCTGGGTCATATGGTAGTTCTATTTTTAGTTTTGTTAGGAACCGCTATACTGTTTCCACAACAGCTGTACCATTTTGTATCCCCACCAGCAATGGATAAGGGTTCCAGTTTCCCCACATCCTCGCCAACATTTATTTTCTGGTTTTTTTGTTTTTTTTTTTTATCTTAGCCATCCTAGTGGCAGTGAAATGGTATCTCATTGTGGTTTTGATTTGTATCCCTCTGATGGCTAATGATGCTGAGCATCTTTTCATGTGTTTGGTGGCCATGTGAATGTCTTCTTTGGTGAAATGTCTATTCAAATCCTTGGCCCATTTTATGACTGGATTGTCTTTTTGTTGTTAAGCTGTCGAGGTATTGCTGTATTTTGAAAAAGACTTTCTAGTTGAATTTTTACATAAGTGAAAGACGGGTTGAGTGCTCATGAAAGAGTATCTAACCTTTTCTCTGAAGACAACTGGTCTCACTTGAACCCTGCTTAGAGTAGCCAAAAAGAGTTTTACACCTGATGATTGCCCAGAGGAAATCAGCAGAGAATGGTCCTGGGCACACAGGAGATGTTTGTGGAATAACCTGTAGGCAAGCTAATCCTGCATCAGGTCAAGAAGATGGCCCTAGATGGCTTACCATTCAATGAACTATGGCATGCCAGAGTTGGATGGGGCTTAGAGATTCCAGGGCTAATATTCTGGGGAACCACGGAACCCACAATCTCACTGTTCATATTGCCCCCTACCCACCTTGTGCAAATACAGCACTCATATTACAGGTTCTTGCTCAAAGGGCATTTGTTCAAAATGACTAAACTTTTTAGAGTTGTCTTGAATGGGGCCAGCAATCTTGAAGAAATAGCTAAACTAAATCTCAAAACTATATTTAAAAACTCATGAATGGGGGTAAGCAAGTACAAGGGAACACATCTGGTTGTGCCACCTGGCCAACCTCTGTTGGCTGCAACCTGAAGCTATCACCAGTCTTTTATAAACAATCTCCAATTCTTAAAAACAACTACAAAATGTTTAATGACCAACATGAATGTAAAACAGATACAAGAGCAACCTCACCCCTAATCTACTTGTGTCAGGGAAGACAATGAATATTTTACTACAGCTCTGTAATCTGCTGGCCTAAAAAAAACTGTTCGAAGTTTGGGTTTGATGCAGGATGCTGGATTTTATATTGACCTGTATGTGATTATTAAATGTCTCCTCCTCCCACAAGAATATAAGCTTAAAGTAAGTAGTGTCTGTGCTTGTCTTATTCATGACTGTGCCCCCCTCCTCCACCAACAGGGTCTAGCATATCGTAGGCTCTATTTAAGTATTTTTTTAAACTGACTAAATGAACAAATGACTTTTTTTTATCTTTAGTGGATCCATCACTTATCTTGTTCCTTGCCTCTGCGTTAACTTAGAATCTTAAAACTCTAAATGCAGATTCAGCCAGCTCCATTTAAGATGACCTGAGTTACATGTGTTAGCTTTTACAAAACTTCAGTGTGTGGGGAAGAGACCGCTATATCTGGACCCACTTATAAACAAATAGACTTCAAATTTTTCCATAAAACATTTCTAGCTTGATTACAAAAAGCTAAAGGCTTCCTTGGGCCCAATGTGATCATCCTGTGATCTCCAATCATCCCAATTTTGTGTCCTTGTCCTCCAGCATAAAGCCTCTTCTCGTGAAACATACTTACCTGAAACTGAATCTGACATGTGCTTTAGAAACATTTCTGCCACTCTATATGCTCCCCACACAGAGGTATCGCTATAATGGCTCTTTTCTATATGCTTAGTCCCCAGAGGAAGGCCTGGTCCTGTACAATGTACTCAGAGGCTGGTCACAGTATTAGTGCTTTCTGGAGTCAGCAAGAATGGTAGGGATGCTGTGTGTCCCCAGGCCAGTCTCTAGACATAGCATCAAGCACAGCACTGATAAAACTAGGTCGGCAACCAGTCCTTACTGTCAGTGACAGGAGGAGAATGAGGAGTATAGTAGGCTAAAGTGGCAGTTTGGGGGGACTTGACCTTTCTAATCCACAAGAGTAATACTGCGTTATTGGTCAAAAAACGGTGAATTATTCAGCAATTCTTGCAGCCTTTTTTGAAATACATAGCTGTTAGTCCATAAAGCAAATTCAAGTATGAATGAACACAATGGGAATCACATGTTTTACAAAAAAAAAAAGTAGTCTTACAAGCAGTTGTGGGAAGAAAGCCAGAACAACCTACATAAAAAAAAGGATAAAAGCTTGATTTTTACTGTCCTTTTGAAACAAACATAGTTGTTGGAGAAAGGGAACTTCTCCGATATTTTGTGAGATGATTTTAAAAGTTTTGGAGATTTGCAAGACACAAAACATAACACAATAGCAGTAGCAGAAGCAAGAGAAGCAACCATATACTGTACCTTTACTTCAGCAAATCATGGGCCGTTTGACAGTCTCTGGATGATACTCTCTCTCTTTTTCCCTCAGTGCAAAGTTACTGAAGAGCTGATTTTTCACATGGCTTTGTGGCAAGTTTAACTTTCAATGAACGGGTTCTTGTTAAGTTTTTCTTAGCATAATTACTCAATCCCATGCTTGAAAACTACAATTCATTTGGATAACCAAAATGTATAGGGATTTCATGCTAATATCATACTCAAAGGGGAGAGCTGGAACAGTCTTATAGGCATATTGCTGGCGAGCTGCTGCCAACTGTGACTCATGACGGGACTGACATCCTATAAAAGTAGACTCAAATCTCAGCACGCACAACGCTAACAGAATATGATCTAAGCAGTCAAGAAATACGGAACTCCATTTCTGACTTTATAGCAATGCCAATAAGCTTAGCAATCACGGAACAAAAATGTAGACAGAAAGGAACTTTCTCTACTCTTTTACATAAACTTCAAGTGACATTCAAGAAATAAAATGCAATATAGTGTCTATGGCAGGTCAATGGTGGAGCTTTTGAGAAACACATCCTGGGTTTGAAGTCTTTATGGGCCAGAAACTGTCCCATAACTCCCCACTGTGATCAAGTGGGAGAAATATGGATCACGGCTTACAAGGGGAAGGCAAGTGGACGAGTCCACATAAGCACATCGCTAGCCCTACAGACATGGCCCAAGTACATCCCCAGTGAGGGGGCTGGTTAATGGAAGCATCTTCACATGACAAGTTTTTGTCTCCTTACCTTTAATTATTCTGTAGGATTCTTTTTCATCTCTGTAAGAAAGGCTATTTTAACAGCAGTTCGGCATATCCAACTCACTTTAGCCACATGAAGGAAGGTGAGTGACAATGCAATGATGGATTATAATGCAATGATGCTATGTATTAAACTTTGAAATGGAGAAGATGTTGTGGGATTCTGGAGGTATCCAGTTTGTATTTATAACCACATTTAAATAAAACTAACATTTAAATAATTAGCAATCCCTTGAGCTCAGAGTACAGTGAGATAGGAGGAAAAAAATTTACCCCAAAACTTAAAAACTGCTAAAAATCCACAGAAGAGATAACCCTTGCAGTGAAAACTCTGAATGTGGCTTCTGGCCAGCCTAGCTGATAACAGCAAATACAAAAAATCCTTTAGCAAGTAAGAGGAAGTTTTTTTGAGACTCCAGGCAAAGCCTTCAGCCAATGGTCTGTTCCCTTTGTCTTTTCAAATTGCACATTGACTAATATCGAACAAAGCCTCACCTGGGACTTCAGGAGAGAATCTTGCAGAGTGTCGAGACACAAAAAGTTTCAGTTCTTGGTCCAAGTTGCATTCGATCAGGTTCGTGTCCCATGATCGGATTCCTAGGGAAGGAAAGCAAGATAGTTGACAAGCTTCCAGCTAGTCATTTCAGGGTGGTTTGGAAAATATCACTGCAACATTTCTCAGGCTTGAGGGGTGGATGTGGAAACTCCTTTTCTGAAGAGCTCAGTGACTAGCAGGGATGCCCACAAAATGGGAGGGCTGGAGAAGTCTCTCCACCAGGCCACGAGGGAGAGATAACTAGCAGTGTGGACTGAACTTCTGCCCCTCATAAAAATGTAAATGCAGCTTTTCTGGAAGAGCAAAAGAAAACAGTCATTAGGAAAATGACAGACTCCACTCCAGGGAGGAAGTAGAAAGGGCAGAAAGATTGTCTGTTCTTGAGCCACTTAAGAGTCCACCAGAACATCTTTAGCTTTCCCATGGCCCACTTGTACATGGTGAGAAAATGTACAATGGGGGTAGAGAAGGTATGGGACTGGCATTTAAGTCCTTTGTTTTTAAAATGATGGTCTCGTACTGTACAGATGTGTTTTGTGTGCACACACAGTTTCTTTTCTTAACCCATCCCATTTTTGACCTCAGTTTCTAAATCCCTAGATATCAATCCAAAATTTGTGCGATCTTTGAGTAGAAGGCGGGATCTCGGTCTTCAAGACTTGGCCTGCCTATCCTCCCAGACGTTTATTTCACTTGAGGAGCTTGGCAGGCGGCTCTTTCACAATTGTTAGCTGTATTGAGTTTTCTTATCCAGAGGCAAAGAAATGTGGCAATTTTTCATACTTTATAATGGAGTTGGGGGCCATGAGCTGTCTATTTGTACAAAAGCTCAGGGTTCCTTTCTCAAATCCGGAACTTGGGGTGAGAGGAATGCCAGGGCAAGAATGAAGGCAGTTTCCTGTGCTGATGCTCGAGCTCCCCGGTCACTTCCTTCCTCCTCCCTCTGCCCTCCTTTCTCTTTGCCCTCCCAGATAGAATGGCTCAGAAGTAAACCCAAGGGACATCAGAGAAGGGAGATCTGGGGAGCAAGTAAGGAAAAATGAGGAACCACAGAACTCTGGGGTGCGTTTGTTTGTTTGCCAAATAGAAGCCAATATGTAGTATCCATGATTGTACCTTGCACAGAGCATCCTCATTGCCAACAGCAAACCCCTGAGCAACAAGCACGGGCTGCACACCTACTAAGGGCAGGGGCTTGAACCTCTAGGTTTAACACACCAGGTGTACTCTCTCTAAATAAGCACCTGGTCAAGTAATCATTTTTATTGATCATTAGTCATGTATACAGACTTGGGAGTATAAAATGGCAACGTATTATTTAAACACACCTTAATTCTGTGATGCGTATCTGTTCTTACTCCCATTTATACCCTGCGCAGTGTTCTCATCTTGCAAAGAATCAAGATTGTCTATATATAAATATTACCCCCAAAATGCTGGCAACTCAGTTTACTGCACATCTAAAATAGCTTTTCAGATTACCCATAAAAGACCTTCCCAACCGCAAGGAATATTGTCAAATAGATATATGTCCACTAAATAGAGACAAAAATATCTCCTATGGTAAACGGGGCAAATTCAGGTGTGGAAGAGTTAACATTCCTAAAGAGAGGCTAAATTATTACAGAGAATTTTATGAGTCTCCCTGGAACCATTAACAGCCTCAGTTTGCATTTGCGCTAATGGAGCATTCAAATTTTAACAAGCAAGACATGCTGAGATTTGTGTATCTTTTTACTCCAGAAATGATAAATGAGTTCTTTTTGTTTCATGGAAAGCTTGACAGGTTGAGAGGTCTGAATTCATTAGAATATTTTACCTCAATATATACACTATATACACTCATCTAGTGTGAAAAATCATTGAGTTCCTGTCTGAGCTGCTTAATTGGTATTGTTGACCGAATTCTCTGTGCTCCAGGTCTGAGCTCTACTTTGTCTTCTGGCTTGTCAAGCTGGGTCAATAAATTAATAATGAAACATATATTTAAATCAAATTCCTACAATTTTCTGCCTTTGTTCCAAGTAATGTCCAAATTGCTACATTTATTTGAATGACTTCATTGGGGTTATAGGTAGACTTGATCTTACATTGTTGTTTGCCATTTTTAACTTGGCTTCAACTTACGACACATGCAATTAAATGTTTGCTTTATATTTTATAAACGTCTGGCTTTATGATTTATATTTTAGTAATGGAAAAAGCACTAAACAATAGAAAGCCATTTAGTAAGTTTTAAATTTCATTAGTAAACAGATGATAAAAAATAAGATTTCTCATTTTTATACTCCCAATGAAACTAAAAATTTAGCTTGGGTTCTCTTTTTAGGTGAACAGTTTCCAGCCAAATTATTTCTTAACAATGCATAATCACTACTACCACTTATAAAATAAAAGTTTCAATGGGTTCACTAGTTATTTCAGTTGGAAAGAGAAATTTTGGAAACAGGCCACTTTCTATACCAATTTTAGAAATAAAATACTTTGTACTTACTTGGTACTTTCTACTGGATAATATTATTAAAAGGAAGTAGTATTTTGCAATGAAAGTTCACATTTCATTTAATAGGTTTATGTATCTCCCCTTTGCGACTAAGGCAGCTAACAGTGGGCCCTCTAGAGCTCATAGGATGGGAAACTATCTCTTTGGCCCTTCCAGTTTCTCCCTCTTTTTTCATGGTTGGTGAGGATACTGGGGTGTTGGTAAAGAGGTTCTGATGAGGTCTTGCAGAAGCAAGTTATCCGGTCTCTAACGGAGGGTAGAAAAGCCAGGACAAATCCCCGATCCTTCTTCTGACTATGCCCCCAATACACCTCAGGTCAAGCTCTTCCCTGAGCCTCGGCTTCTCCAGGGCTTATGAAGACTGTGCCCCTTGCTGGCTTATTCAGGTAGGGGCAGAACAACTGCACCCCTCTGGAGGAGATAAATGTCCACTTTTTAAACATCTAGGCTCAGAGGGCATCTGTCAGCCCTGGGAACTCAGTAGTGTGCCTAGGCATCCTGAGCCGCTCACAGCCTGCTTTGCAGCAATTACCCGGCCTTGGAAGTGAGCGACATTACCGTGTCTGTTTTTCTGGAGCGTATTCTTGCCTAGCCTTATTGGCCAGGAGGTAACAAAGGAACTTTCCTTCTCGGTTCTCTGACCCCAGGTAGTAAGAGTCCACAAAGGGTAGGCTAACATGCATATGACGTTTACAGATGGACAAAGAAGAAAAGACAAGACTGCATGTGGGAGGACGGGGGGTCATCACAGGGCAAGTCAGAGTGAAAAAATGAGAAAGAACCAGGGAGCCTATGGTATACAGACTATATCTCTCCAAATTTACCAATTATAAAAGTGTTCTGCAATATCGTTTAAAGAAATCTACATCAAAAAAAAAAAAAAAACCCTCCCATTTAAATGGCTACTTTAAATGGCTAATATCTATATTACTAAAAGAGACAGTAGATTTCAGAAAGCAGAACTAAATGGCCAAACGATATGCAAAGCTAAGGCAGGCTTTATTTTCAGAGAAAAGACTTTCTATTCTTTCCCTTGACCTAACCTGGAGATCCTCAGTCCAATTTCCTTTTTTTTTAGCCAACAGCTTGATGTTCATAATGTGCATGTTATGTATAATGAAGCAACATCTTATATAGAGAGCTCATAATTTCAAAAAACTGAAACATTGATAATAATTTAGGCCTTGGATAACATCTCACAATAGAAGCAAACAAAAGAAGTAATTTACAATAATTTATTTATTGATCTAAAAGTTAGAATTTGTTGAAAAAATAAGCCCTTAAAAAAGATTTAAAATGAATCACCAATTTAATAACCTTAAATTTTCAGACTGGCTTTTATTTCAGCGTGGATGACAGAACCCTTAGCAGATAATACCAATTAAGCAGTGCAAGCAAAAATTCATCTGCCTTTTGACTCTGAAAAGTATAAAGATGAATATCATAAATGTAACACTCTCCAACATTTTATTTAACTCCCACCATGTATGGGTTTTTTCCTGTTAAAACAAAGTGACAAAAAACTAAACTCTAAATCTTTCCTGGGTTCTTAATTCTATAACCATCTCAGACTGAAGATATTCAATAAAGTAATGATCTGGGTTACAACGTAATCAGCTAAACTTATATCTAACAATCCAGGGCAATAGATGTTACACACATCTATCTTTTATGTACAAATCTTGCTGATTCCCAGTGTTTACTAGAGGAGATGTTACAGTCTTTAACAGTAACTGAAAACATCAAATTGACACTTAGTATTTCTTACATGTTTTAATTCCTTTGAAAAAATAAAATGAAAATTCCTTTCACAGGGCTCTAGAATTCAGTTTGTAAGTCTATGTATTAAAATAACCAGAGGAGTAGCAGCTCTGATAAAACTGAGGAAGGCTGTTAAATCCGTGCTGTGGGCTAACTGGGAGGGGGGGGGCATGGAGTGGGAGTCGGTGGTAGAGACAATGGTTTGGCACAAGGTCTTCCACAACTAAATAAATAAAGCTAGACCAGTCCAAGGAAAGATAATTGTTGCAAACTCTGGAGAAGATATGGCCAAACCTCACATTATACTTTTTAAATATAGTTGAAAAGACTAGAGTGATCATCTCTCTCTTCCTTGGTTTCAAGAAGCATTTACTAAACATCCACATCTGGATGTTTCAGGCCTGTTGATTTACTGCATTACCACCATCTCCCTACAGATTTATAGGTTATTTTCTAGGTCTTCCCAGACAGCGCTCAATAATCAGATGGCAAGAATCCAAGTCGCCAGGGTCTCTAAACCCGCAGAGCCTCAGTTAGAGGGCAGGGGAAATAGCATAAAGAGTAACAGATGATGAACTGCTTTCCCAGCCTGCAACAAACGTTCAGAGCCAACCCCCCCCCTGGAGCAGATCCATCTTGCTTCATGCAACATGACCCAGTGTCACCAGCAACAACAGCAGCGCCATCAGAGTGACTTCTGGAGGAGGCCCAGCTGGGACCTGAAGGCTGAGGCAGCGTGTTATCCACAGAGGAACAGAGTCAACCTGCCCTGTTGCTAAGTCATCTTAGACCATCTGAAAATCTACTGAAGCAGTATTTTCACTTAGCATTGGAAGATGCTGCAGCACGCTGCAGCCGAGACCCCAGGACCCCAGAGAGCAATCTCCAGAGGAAAGGCAGCATCTGTTACTGTGAATAAGGAAATGGCTCTGTTCACTCACTTGGTTGATTCTTAATGGGATCAATAAAGCCATTTCAGAGTTCCATGCAAAAACCCGAGCAAATTAGGGAATTAAAAATCAGGAAGCCATGGTGACTGGAAAGGGAACCTGAGGAGCGATTCTGGGACCCCAGCAATGTCTGTTTCTTGATCTGGATAACACAGGTGTGTTCGTACTGTGAAAATTCACTGAGCCGCTTATCTATGATTTCTGCCCTTTCCTCTATATAACATACGTCATTATTTGTTTTAATTGAAAAGAATTAGGAAAGCAGATCTGAATTTTATCACTCAGTGCTAGTGGTGTAAAAATACAAATAAAGACAGGAAGCACTTCGCAGCAGTACTTGGATGCATCTATTTTATTCTCCAGCCGAAGCCGCTTGAATAAACCCCCTGAGGATTCCCGCTCTGAAAGGATGATCAGCGAGTAACAAAGCAGGAAAATAATCAGTCCGAAGGTGACTGCTAAACCATCTCCCTGCATGGGGCGCTACCCACAAGTGGATGACTGTACAAAGGCAAGCTCTGAAAACTGCCGTATTTGATGTTAGCCTGCCTTCCGCTAGCATCAGTGACAGGGCCAGGAAACAAGTGATGCGGCAGTCCTGGTCCTGTCACTTGTGAGCTCTGTGACCTTGAGCCAGTCCCTTATCCTTTCTGCCTGTCTGGACGCTCATTTCTAAAATGGGGATGATGATCCTTCTCCTGGCACCAGGCCGAGCAGTTATGAAGATTTTATAGATAGAAAAGCACCTTCTACTGTATTATTGTTTCCCTAGCAAGGCTGCTGACAAATGATATTTTTAAAACTCCAAAGTCGTTGATTACTACAGTAACCACACCCAAAGTCAGTACGTGTGAATTTTTTCAAGAAGAAAATGTGCAATAAACCACATTAGAACTGTTCTGATTAAAGGCCTGTAGTTTGAAAATGAAGGGTTGCTGAGATGCTCATATAAAGCATTTCACGATAGAAATCTCTCTTATTATTTTTTTTTCCGAATAAAATATCACGACTGCTTTCTGCTCACTTTTTGTTTTTTTTAGCTGAAAAGGAAAATCAGTGCTTTAAAGTTAAACAAAAGAACCACGTCCTCAACTCCAGTCTCCACCCTGCAACCTTTTGTTCTGGGGACAAGTGGCCGTTTCCAAATGCAGAGACAGATGACAAGCATTTATTTTTTCATCTAAAACAAGCATTTTCTTTCGTCTTTTATTATGGGGGTGGGGAGAGCAGGGGACGAGGTCTGCGTGAACGCCCTTTGTCCGCCTCAGGCTGCCGTAGAGACCGCAGTGCGGACTGCACCACGCCCACTAGCCGGTGTCTAGGGTAGGAACGCTTCAGCACCAGCCCAAGAGAATAGAGCTCGGGCTGGGGCTGCGGAGGGACCCGGCGACCTCTGCCAGGGGCGAGGAGAGGACTGGGATGGAGATGGGCGCGCCGCGGGTAAAAGGAAAGGCAGAAAAGAGATCTGCCCACCCGGGGGCTCGGAGCGCAACAAAGCCGGGCTGAGGGAGCAGTGGGGGCGCGCAGCCCTGGCAGAGCCCGAGGCCTGGGTGGAGCGCACGCCCTGCCAGCCGCGCCCGATGGGCGCCGCAGTGCAGGGGGCAGGTGCGGCAGGCGGGTGAGGGCACTGCGGCAGCCTGGGTGGGGCTGGGGAGCCGGTCGGTCCACGTGCCCCAGGCTGTGCCCGCCGGACCCCCACAGCCCTGCCCAGGACTCCCGTGGAACCGCTATTCGGCCTCCGCAGAGCGCGCTCCTGGTGCGCGCAATGGGCGACGAGCTGGCGCTACCCGCGACCCCCTCCCCCCAGCCATCCCTCCCGAGGCTGAGACTTAAAAAGAAGCCCCACCCCACAACTTGGGGTCCTATTGTCCTTTCCGAAAGCTGCAACCAAGGACCCAGGGGCCGTAGCAAGGCTGGTTCGGCCTGGGAACGGAGCGCAGGCGGTTCTCCATCCCTGCATCCCGGGCGGTGGGGGGAGGGGGGGAGGCGGCGGGGGCGGGCGTGGCCCTTGCACTAGCCTAGTCATTCCCAGGAAAGAACGGATCTGGCGGTTTTTAAGCCAGAAAAGGCATTTTTCGGGGGCTGGGGTGGCCATGGGTGAAGACGATTCCCATGCGGGCCTTGGCACATGGTGTTTCAGCCCAGGGTCTGCCGGCTAGGGGGCCCCAAGCCATTTGCAGCGAGAGAGGAAGGCTGAAAGCAAGTGGCTGCATCAGGTTCTACCCCACCCCTCCTATGCCCCTTGCGGTTGCAGCTTTATTGTGGCCTCTGCTCCTCTGACACCTGCATTTCACTTAGCGGGAGAGATGGTGGTCAGCTCGGTAACAGATCCCTCAAGGTTATGAGAGATTCACTTTCTCGGGGTCTCAAATCTAATAATTCAGATAATTCTCCGACAGTAACCCAGAAAAGAGTCTGGACGGAGTGCGGGAGGTGGAGGGGAGGGCTAGGAGTGTGGGGCGCGCCCTGGGAGGAGGGTGGCCGTTGCGCCCTGGGTGGGGTCGCGTTTACGCGTCTCCCTGCTCTCGTCCCCTGGGGACGCTTACCGAGCTCGATGTTGCCTATGGCGCGCCGCAGGTGCTCCTCGGTCACGATCTCGCCGACGACCACCAGCAAGTAAAACTTGCTGTCGAGGAAGCGGTGTGACAGGCTGGGTGAGGTGGATGCCGCCGGGTTGGCGAGGCTGCCGGATGGCTCGGGCTCGGTGGCTTCCACCACCACGGTCGCCATCCTGCCGGCCGCTATGCTTCGGCGATGTGTCCCGCTCCGGCCGCTCCTCTTCTTTGCCGCAGGAGAAAGGATTATCTCGGAGGGTGCTGCCTCCGCTCCGCCCACTACGTCCCCCCTCCTGGCGCTGCGCGCCGCCTCCCCCTCCGCGCTCTCCTAGCTCGGCGCTGAGCGCGCCGCGGAGAGGAGCCGGGAGTGAGAGGGCGGGGAGGCGGCGCCGCTTTTATATGGAGACTTGTCAGGGAGCCCGGGAGGAGGAGGAAGAGGAGGAGGAAAGGACCACCCGGCACATCCTCACGCGGTGGCTGCGTCCGCTCTTCGAGCCGTTGGCCCGGGGCTGATGTCATCTGCAGCAAATCATCTTGCCCGCGGCCCGGAAGCTGGAGGGACGAGGTGTGTGGACAATGGTCTGGGCAGGGCCCCGAGTCAGGGACAAGGGGACCCAAACGGCTCCCGCTGCAGCCCTCAAGGGGGAAGACACTCCCAGTCCACACACGAACACCCACTGCCAGCTCCGAACCCCCACCCCGCTTGTGCAGGAGACTAGAATGGCTTTTCATTTTCAGAGTGGGGTGTTTCCCTTGTCCAAGGTGCGCAAGTCAGGCCGCTGCCTTAAGTCCCATCTGCAGTGAAGCTAGGTTCTCAGGAGCCTTGATCCCTACAGATTTGGTACTCAAGGTACCCACCCCAGGAAAATGGAACCTGCTTTTCTTTGACCTTGTGGATTTAGGAAGACATATTTAGCAATAGCAATATTTACCACCTTCACTTAGTACATCAAAAGTGCAAAACCTAAAACTGCTATTGTTCAGGTTTTGGATCCTACTCGGAATGCCCAAGGGTGAAAAATACTGATTTATTGGTGCTCATGGGAAATGAGAGCAATACAGATGGGTTATCTTAGATACAGATTTCTTAATAATATGCTGAATGGATAGTATCAGGCATAACAAAGAATAAAGAGAAGATACTGTCTCTACCCAGCAGGATTACAATGACTATAGTGTACTTTTCAGTTCCTTGGGGAACACACAAGCAAAATTATTTTATGTGACAATGATGTCTTTTAAAATATATGTAGCATTGGGGATTTTTATTGCCTTTGTTTAGAAGAACTCATAAAAATGTGTTGCTTTTTTTTTTAAGGAAACCGTCTACAACCATTTCTCACAGACTTACTGAATACAGCTTCTGTCTGAGGAAGGGGGGTGAAAAAGGAACAAAGTGTGCAAATATGGTATCATCATAAAAGACTGGGGGATTGGATGTTTAGGGAAGATGAATGGATAGAAATTAGAGTAGTTAATATACCTGTAATACCAGGATGTGTTTTTTTTTTTTTTTAATCACCTAGATAATTCTAAGATTGGCAAAAAAAAACTCACTGTCTTCGGTGTTAATCACCATGACTTATTGGTAATGTAGTCTTTGCTGTTTTTTCTGAAATCCCTATGTGCTAGACATGGTGGGCAGCCATTGTGGGTCCCATCCTACTTACCAGTCTGATCAAAGGGAAATAAAGATACTGTCTGGACTGTAGCATTTGGGGGCTGTGACAAACTCACTGGAGAGCTGAATTCACTAGTGAACAGTGACTACGAGTTCCCCAGTGAAATGGTAATAGATCGTGTCTTGGTCAAGGGAAGACATTCAATTGTTGTTAAAGAGGTGAGGCCAGCACCAAAGACCAGAATGGGGGAGGAGGTGGAAGTATGGTGAGGTGCACTGTTTTCCAAAGGTCAGCCATTGGAGCCTAGTCTCATCTAGTAATTTCTTTCCATTTCTGTGAACTGCCATTGCTTTTATTTATGAGATAGTTTCCTTTAAATCAACTCATTCATTTTACTTCAATTTATTTTTAAATGAAATTTTATGTTGCTTTATAAATGGAATAAATACAGCCAGAATGCTCCTTAGAAGTGAGGATGGCAAGACTTTGTCTCACCTACCTTGGACATGTTATCAGGAGGGACCAGTCCCTGGAGAAGGACATCATGCTTGGTAACATAGAGGGTCAGCAAAAGAGAGGAAGACGCTCGACAAGATGGATTGACACAGTAGCTACAACAACATGTTCAAGCATTACAACAATTGTGAGGATGGCATAGGACTGGGCAGTGTTTCGTTGTATAGCGGGTCGCTATGATTTGGAACCAACTTGATGGCATCTAACAACAACATATAAATGGAAACACCAATATCACTTATAAATAGGAGGTATCCATATTAATAAACACAATGAAAATAAGATAATATGATTAAATTTTTGTTAGATATTATTTGCCCAAGACTGAGCCTGGGGTGTACCCTCTCTAGGTTAAAAATAGAGATTAGTAAGTGTGAGTGAGGTTTTAAAGACATACTAGCACTTGACTGAGTTGTTCTCGATGTCATGAGAGAAAGGTTGGATGAAAATTACAAAAGAAGAGCTTTCGTACTGTATGAGTCAATGCAATTAAATGCTATGACCATGAACCACCTAAATCTTTGCCCACACTTTGAAAAACAAAAACATAATGGGAAGAACACAGACTAGGGATACTGACTCCTGCTTTACAGCTCTGTAACTTCGGGCAAGTGACTTACTGTTTTTGAGCCTCAATGTCTTCATCTATCTAATAGGAGGAACAATTTCTTCTTAACTGTTTGAATATGTGTGTGAGAGAGGATCAAATGATATAACATGTTAAGTGCCTAATACAGTGCTTGGAACATAGTATGCACTGAATATATGATTGATAGAGTCACCTGAACTACTGATACCAATGTTTGCTCACGGTTCCTTAGACAATGGAATGAAATCCTTACACAATATGCAGCTGGGCACAGTCATCTACATCCCTGAAACAAAAATAGAATATTAAGTGACACTGCAAAACTAGTCTCCTCTCCTCACCCCAAGAAAAAGGATGCAGTTGTAAAGAGGTGGAAAGGGGAAACTGACATATATAAGAGTGCCTGTATTGCCATCTGCCCACTTGCCATCCCTCTGATGTGCCAAAGACGTCTCAAACTCAACATTCTCCAAAGCCAAATCAGCATCTTTGCCCTTCAAACCCAGTCATCTCTCACTTTCTATATTGCAGTGAATATTATCTTCTATCCTGTGATGCAAGCCAGAAACCTCAAAGGCATTCTTGGATTTCTTCCTGACCCTCAGCCCTGTGTGCAAACCAGTATGGAGTCTGGTCAGTTTTACCTCCTGAGTATCACTTCAATCCATCCACTTCTCTCCAGTATCACCACCGTAGTCCAGGCTACCATCATCTTGAGAGGTAGTAGTATACAGGTTAGAAAATGGGTTCTGGAGTCAGACTGCCTGGTTTTGAATCCCAGCACCATAAATTGTTAGCTGTGTGACCTTGGGCAAGGTGCTTAGCCACTCTGTGATTTGGTTTTCTCATTTGGATAGTCTACCTAACTTATAGACGGGGAATATGTAAAATGCTTATGATAGTGCTTTATATATAAGTACTCAGTAAGGGTTAGTTGTTGTAATAGTTAACATTTTACTATGGAGAATTTCAAACATACATAAAAGTAGAGAGGATATTGTAAGATAAACTATCATTCAGTTTTAACAATTATGACTTCATGGCCAATCTTTCTTCATCTGAAATATCTATTCACCCTTTCTGCCTTGGTTATTTTGAAAGAAAATCCCGGATATCATATAATTTTATCTATAGATATTTCACTATTATCTCTAAAAGATAAAAATTCTCTCCTTTTAGGGACAAGGAAGCTGGTGATAGGGAACCCAAGGTTGAGTAAGGATATTGCTGATGTGTTGTGAGATTGTTAACCATTGTCATAGGGCAACATTTGTAGTAACTGTTAAATGAGAAGCTATTTTGTTCTGTAAGCCTTCATCTTAAGTGAGAATAACAGCACAATTGGAAGAGCGTAGTCAATGTCACTGAACTGTGCATGTAGAAATTTTTGAAATGGTGTATCTTTGGCTATGTGTATTTTCACCAAAAAAGGTTGAGAAGTTAGAGTGTTGCTATGTTGTGGGGTTGTTAACCAATGTCATAAAACAACATGTGTACTACTGTTTCATGAGAAACTATTTGTTCTGTAAGCCTTCACCTGAAGTACAATAAAAAAAAAAAAAATTCTCTCCTTTTAACGTAACAAAAATATCTTCATTACATCTAAAAGATTAACAATAATAATTTAACGTTAGTCATCCCATCCATGTTCTAATTTTCACAAATAGCCTCAAACAATTTTTACAGTTTGTTTGTTTGAATCAAGAAGTAAATAAAATCTATATATTTCAATTGATCGATATGTCTCAAGTCTCTTTCAATCTGTGGGTTCCTAGTCTCTTTCTCTCTTTTTTTTTTTCTTGCAATATTTTTGTTGAATAACCAGGTCATTTGTTCTGCAGAGTTTCACAAAGTCCGAATTTTGTTGAATGCATCCCTGTTGTATTATTTAACCTGTTCTTCTATCTCCTGAATTTTCTGTATATTGATAGTTAAATCTGAACACTTGATCAGATGCAGGTTTTTTTTTTTTTTTTTTTTTTTTGCAAGAATATTTCATAGGTAATAATTGTGTTCTATCAAGAGGCACACAAAGTCTGGTTGACCCTCTTTCTGTGATGTTAACAGCCAGTGACAAACATTACCTAGATCCATTACTTCATTAAGGACTGGAAGATGGTGATATTCTAATTTTATTATTCTTTCTTCATTTGACAGCTAGAATACTTCTATTGGGAGAAACATCACCCCATCAGTTGGTTAGCCTGATATAGAGTTTGTACAGGAAAGGAAGAATAAACATGATTCTATCTCTTTTATTAATTTTCAAAATAATGAGTTCATTCCATAACATCTTCCAAAGGTGACGAATAACATTTGTTTGTATAAGTAAGAATATAATTTGCAATCATTATTCATATTTTTTATTCATATCCATATTCTTTAATTGTCCCATCTTTGGACAGTGGTATGACAAGATGTTCCCTGCTCATCTTGTACATTTCTGGCCTCAGAACCTAAATTAGCCATTTCTCTAATGAACCCTGATTTCTTAAGTGGGAAATGGTATTTAGAGACCATAATCTGGATGCTAGGAGTACTTATTGCTACTGTCATTGTTTCCAGATATTTTCAGGGGGTGGGGATAGGAAATACATTTTTTTCAAGGTTGTTACTAATACTGCCAATTCAAGATCAAGACTACTACAAAGATTTTGCTTACCTTTCTAGCCTACATTTGTATTTCCTTTGTCCCATACTGAGAATTCT